TAACCATCATCTTCATCAACCTTGTCTTCCTCTACCTCTTTCTCACTTACGTTCCCTTCGTTGTCTCATCTGAGACTGCTCTCCTCTCCTCTTTTCTACCACTTCTCCTCTGTTTACTTCTCCTTCCTACTCCTGCCAATAGCAGCAGCAGCAAGTAACCATCCTACTGTCTTCCCTTATTTTCCTCTTTCACACCCTCTCTCTTCCATCCTCCTCCTTTCTCTCCTCCCTTCGTCTCTCTGCCTGGCAGTTGTAACGGCATTGGGTTGGGTGGGGTGGGTGGGGGGAGTTGGAGGCTGGGGGCACATTAGAAACATCCCTCTGTGATAAGATGCAGCTGGTTACCATAGCAACGTCTATACAGTACCTGCACCCGAGAGCGGGTCAAGAGATAGTGTCCTGATTGTGTGAATGTTTGGATGTGCAAGGAGGTGCTGCGTGCGTGCGTGGTGTGTGGTGTGTGTGGTGTGTGTTCTTACAACATAAAGGCTTTAGTTCATTGGCTCTTCATTAGATGCTCTACATCTGGCTGTGCACACGCACACATTGCCATCCACCTGCCCCCATACCAGCACTCACTCACAACCCCAACCCCCCATGAATGCCCACCCCCTTACTCACACACACACACACACACCTGTCACCCTGGTCCCCCTCACACAGCCAGGTAGACAGGCGTCCCGCTTGCTGTCGGCTGGATATTTAACACAGTTCACACACACATAACAGGTTGTGTCATGTGACTGTGGAAATTAAATATTCTTTCAGGCAGCCATGGACTTCCAGGCTCCCAATGTCTCCACACACTGCTTAAATTGCTATTGAAGTCGCTCTCTAGCATCAGCTGTGAGTCTCCACATCTGATTTCTGTTTATTCACTTGTATGAGAACATGTATAGAGAATACAGCTCCACTAATCCATATTTTTATATTAACAGACTGTGGTTCTACAGAGCCTTTTTTAGTTCTTTGTTTTAGTTTTTCAGCCTCATTTCCAGAAAAAAAAGCTTTTTTAAACCTACTGCAGTGACTTGCTTGTGAATGAATGTGGTGGAGGTCCGGAGTGTGTGGAGACCAAATAATAAATAAGAGCTAAAAGGAGAGTTTTTGTTGAACTTACTTCATCAGCTGGACACAAACATGAATTTAAGGGTCCAGTGTGTAACATTTAGGAGGATCTATAGGCAGAAATGTTGTATTTTCATTACCTTAGAATGAGCTGTTTTTATCTACAGAGGGGGCGGGTCCTCTTTTCTAGAAATGATCATGACATTTTTTTGCCCAGCTCCTTGTCCTTAACTAATTCAGGCTATACGTATACAAATCTTATCCACCTAACACAGTAAGATCAACCTTTGACTACTCAATCCAAGCACTTGCAAGAGATCATTTTGTCTTGTCTTTATTTTCATGCACACAGAATATTACACCAACAACAACCTCCAAAATGACCATATAGTCAAATCAACAACTTAACACGCTTTGTACTAGGGTTACAGCGTTATACTGATACCATGATCAACAGGGGGTATGATAACATTTGCTTAACTATATATAAATACTAAAAAGTATTAAATTATACAATATTACTGGTATTAAAAAATATAGGACATAATATTTTGTGAGGTCATGATAAAGCCAAAAAGAAACCCTTCTGTTTCCATTCCCTTAAGTAACCGGGATATTTTCTGAGATGGGTATTGTACCATGAAAATCTCACATCGTTGCAACGCTACTTCACTTGTAGGTTCTTGTAGTCCGTCTGCAAGAAACTGGATGCCATGAAAATGATGTTTTCAAGCAGAGAAACCAGAGTGGCTCATTGTACATGATAGCTTTCATGCCTCCTAACTGCTTTACTGCAAACCTTTTTCTTCTGAGTGTGTGTGTGTGTGGGGTGTTGTGGTGTGTGTGTGTGTAGAAGAGGGTTTCTAGCCATAATTGTGTCACTAGTGAACAGAGTGCGAGTCTTGGAGGAAGTGCTAAACCCCCTACCATCTCTCACACACACACACACACACACACACACACCTATAGAAGCATACAAAGGCACACACTCACCTGCCAGGTCAGCTCTCATTGGTTACCATGGTAGTGCTACTAGTTTGCAGCTGGGGAGGAGGGGTGTGTGTGTGTGTGTGTGTGTGTGACACTCCACCTGTCGTCATTCACTGACACATATTGAGTTCTCCAAGCAGGTAGCAAAGCCCTCCCCCCCCTTCCATCCATCCCTCTGTTGGTCTTCCTCTCTCTCTCCTCTTTCTCTTTCACTTCTCATTCACTCTCTCTCTCTCTCTCTGTCTCTCTCTCACTTTTCTCTGTCTGTGTCTCTCTATTCCTTTTTCTCTCTGTTTCTTTGTCTAAAAAAAACCCCCCAGACATTTAGACTCACTATTCCCACCCTTTCGAGCCTCTCTTTCCAGAGGCACACCTTACACTCCCAGAGCCTTGTGGGGAAAAAGGGTGGTTCCCAAGACTTTCTGGTATTCCCAGAACTGTGTGTGTGTGTTGTGTGTGGTGGTGGGGGGTGTGGTGTGTGTTAGAGGAGGTATGTGTAGGGTGTGGGGTGGTGTAGAGTATAGAGAGAGAGAAAAAGAGAGAGTGCTCTGTCCTCTGGGAGGTTTGGTTAACATACAGTAGGTGTAGAAGTCTTTGTCTAATTCAGGGCTGTCACTTAAGTATAATTCGGCATCATTAATTTATTTCACACCATTAAACATCAGAGGAAATTGGCAGGTTGGCGCCTCGAAACATTTCATTGCGCTTTAGATATCTGTAGAGGCTGAAGGCAGGCAAGATGTCAATCAATTTAACTCTATTAATGTTCTGAATTTACGTGTTGCATCATGTTTGACAACAGTTACAAGTAAATAATCTGTATAAGTGTGAATGTAATTCAGTTGCATTGATGTGTCTGTGGAGGCTTCAGGCTGCTTACACAGCCTCTAGAAGGGTTTCTGAATGTGGAGGAGCCCCCCCCCCCCCCNNCCCCCCCCCCAGTGTGTGTGCTGAGCAGTAATGAAGTCTTAATCTATATAAACACAACGCTGCATATGATTGAAGAATCTGTAGGCATGGGACAACAGTTTTCAGTTTTGTAGTCCGAGTAGTGTTGACCAGTCATGTTTGAGCGGGCTTTGGTTCGCAGTCCATGTGGAGAGCGAGATGGAAAAAAAGCATTGGCTGAAAGGCAGTTTTGGAACCCAACGGCAATCATATGATTTTGCATTCGTGTGCAGATATCTCTTATGTTCTATCTGCTAATTGGGCTCTAAACAATGACCGCATGGAGGAGGAAGTCTTTGCTCGGATATTCGTTATCCGGATATCTGCTGGCTACACCGGAAGCACATAAACATTGGCCATTGCCCCTTGAGGCTAAACTGTGATCAGACAATAGCCCGTGTGTTTAGAGATTGATCTTGTGATAAAAAAGTCATAGGTCAACTCAAAATAACCTGGGAGACCCCTTGTCTTCCTCTGCGTTGTTATTTATCAACTGGAAAGAGTCAATATGGAGTTTTTATCTATAGGAGTTAATGTTCACATTCCCACTGAAGCCAGAAATATTCCATCCTCAACATGTGAGAAAGGCTTAAGATGCTATAAATGCAGCGTACTAATTTTATTCCTGTAATGGTGACTAATGATCACTGTATGTGATGCAACAGAATAAACTTGAATAGATTTGTATCTGTAATCACACAGCTTTAGTCAGTTCTCTGATCTCAAATACTGAAGACACCAATATTTATATTTTATGTTTTTTCATGTTACTCAAAGACACTTTACATAAGATAAAATGATGATAGATTGAATGAATTTTGCATTTTATTCCACTCTAAAGATCCAGTTTATTTACATCTAAGGGGATTTTCTGTTACATGAAGTTCCAGCGACCAATTTAAAACTCATCATAAACAGAGTTACTGTAAATTACTGTACTGTAAAGTCTACTGACGATTGATAGACAGAAACCTGTGAATGTGCCAGTGACAGTAAAGACAGGAATCAATAACGGAGCTCTGATTTGAAAAGAAAGCCTTGTTTTCATTTTCTACTTGTGGTGGTGAGAAAGCCGTCCTGCAGTGCCGGCCTGCAGTTCTCACTTCACTCATTGTGGTCTGACGAGAGAACAGACCATGAGGCACTGTGAAGAGATTACATTTGAGTACTGATCAGGATGTGAGAGGACTCTGCAGTTGTTTGTTCATTTGCCACTTTTAATTAATGGTTTTTAGTAGCTTTTAATTGAGTTTGTTTTTTTAGCTTAAATCTAGTCTAACACTCATCATTTAACCAAGCCTTTTTTATTATTATTTACATGTTTTATGTATGTAAAGTATCCTTTGGTTACAAGATAGAGAATTTGTTATTGTTATAATTAGACACTAACTAGAGACAGACATCTTTACAAATAGAACAATGGATGATTGACAGTTTTCCCCTTCCTACTGTACATCTGATTGACAGATACTGGGTTGTAACTAACAGGTTTACTATCAATTCATTTGTTGATTGTGTTTTCAATTATCTAACTAATCTTTTAGTTTGTGTTATGATCTAAAACAGAGATCCTCCTAGTTGAAAAACAGCAACCATGAAATATTTAGAAATGTTCCTTTAATACTAGACAGAATCACCATTCCATTGGCTGCTTAGTATTTATTTATTTATTATGTAATTCTTATGGTCAAGCTTTCAAAACATAATAACTTTTCTGTTAATACATTTTTAAACTAGACACTAAAATCAGTTTCTGAATAAGGTTTTAGGGAGGGCTGCCCAGCATGTTGGAAACATCATATTGTGATTATTTTGACAGATATTGCGATATGATTCATGATTAGTGTGGGAGTCCCTGGTTTGACTCCGGTTGGGAATCTCTGTTGCTTGTCACTCCTTTCTGTCCTGACTGTGAACTTGTGAATGATCATCATATCATCACAGATCATCATAATAAAGTCAGTAAGTCTAAGTTTGTCCCCCTCTGTTTCCAGTGTGTGGACAGCGTATCAGGGGCGGACTCTTCCCTGAAGCGCGTCGCGGTGGTGGAGGATTTCTTCGACATCATCTATGCCATGCACGTGGAGATCAGCACCGACCCCGGCAAAGCCCCGAAACACGCCGGCCAGAAGAAGACCTACAAAGCTGTAAGAATGGCGTTACGTTACCATTTATACTGCGTGTTTCTGTGTGTGACATTCTCTCCTTTTTTGTTTACCATCTACATATCTAAGTCTTTCTTTCTGTTGTTTTTATTCTTCCTCACTTGTTCAACTTTTTTCTTTTTTTCCTCTCTTCAGTTTTCACAACCCTCTGTTTGTCGTTGCCCATGCGTCTCTTCACTCTCACACCACTCTCTCCCGTCTAGATTACTGTAAC